TCCAGAAAGGAATGCAGCAGTGCCACATCTTGATTTTTAGTCCAGTAGTACCTGTGTTAGATTTCTCATCTGATACAGCCCAAGTGCAATTAAAGTAGAAAATATATATATTTGTGTGGAGAGTAGTTCACTTAGAAGTTGCTGGTGGGGCATGTTGGCTCACACCTGTAATCCCCAGCACTTTGGGAGGCCACGGCAGTCAGAACACCTGAGATCAGGAGTTCAAGACCAACCTGGCCAACATGGTGAAATCCTGTCTCTACTAAAAATACAAAAATTAGCTGGGTATGGTGGCAGGCACCTGTAATTCCAGCTACTTAGGAGGCTTGAAGCAGGAAAATTGCTTGAACCTAGGAGGCGGAAGTTGCAGTGAGCCAAAATCACACCATTGCACTCCAGCCCAGGCAACAGGAGCAAAACTCCATCTCAACAACAACAACAACAAAAGAACTTGCTCTGGTTGGTAAAAAGCAGAATGAGAAAGAGGAAGAAAGGAAGTAGGAAAGCAATTAGAAAACTTGCAGTGGTCCAGGTGAGATGGTTTTAGCTCAGAAAAGATGGTGATGATGAAATGAAGAGAAGCAGATGAATGTACATTTTGGAAGTAAAGCTGACATATTTGTAGTGTGAAGGGAATTATGGATGACATTGAGTTTCTGAGCTGATCCACTGAGTGGGTAGCATGCTGTTTTACTGAGATGGGAAGGGATGGTCAGGAATGTGTTATGGGGAGAGAATCAAGATTTCTGTTAGATTTGAGATGACAAGTAGGCAATTAATGGAAATGTCAAGTGGGCAACTGAATAAAAAAGTGTTATAACTCTTTAGGATGATGGATTACTTCATATAGCACAACCTGGGCTCTGTCCTTTGAGTTATGATTGTTAAAAACCTGAGATTTATTGACAGTTAATAAAATATCTGCTGGGTACTGTTATTTGCATTCTGGATCTTGAGCTTATTACCTGATCCCCATGAGCTTCCTTCCCTACAACATTGATGGTACCATGCTCTTAGGATTTTGCTGAGCATTAAATGAGGTCATGCCTGTGTCAAAATAAATAACATTGGCAGTTACTTTTATTAGTAAGTTCCCACAGGTCTTAGTTCTTCTCTAGAAACACTGCAGGCATTTGATTGTGTTTTTCCTTGAGATGAGGAGGTGGTGAAAAATGGAGAGAGTAGAGTAAGAAATTCACAAAAAGTCCTTAATGACTAGAATTTGGTTGTGTGAGAATTTAGGAACCACTGCAGCTTTCTTTAAAAGTGAAAACATGAGCTGGGCATGGTGGCTTGTGCATGTAGTCCCAGCTACTTGGGAGGCAGAGGAGGGATCATCACTCGAAGCCAGGAGTTAAAGATAAGCCTGGGAGACATAGGGAGACCCCATCCCTTAGAAAAAGTGGAAACATGACTAGGGAAGTATTCAAGGAAAGCAATTAAAATTATTCTTCAGATGCACACACACACACACACCCCCCTTCAGATATATATAGAATGCAGAAAATGTATTAAAACATATGTACTATATAAAAATATATATGTATATTTGGCATTTCAGATGTACAATAAACCACTGATCTCTCCATTACTCCCATGTTCTTAAATTCCTGCTGCAGTATATATAAATTATCTATTAAGAATCGGAATGTTATGATACATTATTACTCATTTGTGGGTGTTTAACTCCTAATACATAGCTAGAAAATCCAGTTCATTATTAAATACCAGAGACGCAGAGTTGTATAAAATTCAAAACCCTTTTCTCCTAAAAAGCGTTAAGCTGAAATATGATTAGATCTCATCTGGTAAAACCTTATAAAGTACAGTTCTATTTAATACATTTTTTAGCTACAGTTTATGTTTATCACTAGGAAAAAAGCTTTGTTCAACCTGCTTTTCTACATGGGTGAACCTTTACTCAGTGGGATATTTGGAGGACTGTTAAAGCCCAAACAATCGTTTTGGTAGGGTTAAACCTGGGTGCAAGAGAAGGCTCGGGCTCCCTCTGGTGGTGATAATGTCATACTATTTTTGTTGGAAAGTACTGATACGTGGAAGATGAGGCTGCCAGGGTGATGTTCTCAGTTACACACAAAATATGTTAAGTCTGGTGCATTAGGTGAAGTTACAACATGAATCCCCACCCCCAACCCGGAAGTGACTCCTGAGCGATCTTCAGCAGGTTGTTCATCTCAGTGGCTTCCTGAGGCTTCTTTGATTTGGAGGGGGAGGGAGAAGAGTAAGACATCTCCTAATTAGATTTATTTTGACCAGTCAGGAATGTGACAAAGAATGAGTGAGGTATTTGTTAGGTTCTTTGAATTCCTTAAATAAAGATGTTTTGTGAACTTACATATTTTCAACTCTAAATTTCCTTTCAGAGGGGTGGTCAGTATAAAAATGGACAAAAAATAAAAGTAAAATGCTGACATATGTTTTAGCATAAATTAAAAACATGTTAAATTTTAAACATATTATTGGATAATATATTGCCCATATAATATTTTTTAGATAATATAGTTGAGTTTGGGGGATATATAAAATGATTATATGCAGTGATGGAGTTTAAATCCTTTGCAGATTTATGATATGTTATTTTTGCTTTAGGGTTTTGGAATAAGGGAAGGTGATTTGTGAATGATGTCTCCTCAACCTAATTTCTCTAATTAATTTAAAGTCGAATATTTGTATGTAGAGGAGGGATGCTTTTGAAAAATACTGGACTAATACTGGGCTACATGTTTATTTTCTATATATGTAGTACCTATAGACAACCGAGAGTTCTTTTTCCTTTCCTTAGGAATTTATTTGGAGAGTTTAAGTAAAACATCTGCATTATTAAGCACCTCAAATTAAGAAAACTGACTGCTGAAATTCCACAGCTTTCTAAATCCACATAACAGTGAGCTGCAGAGCATGAATTCATCCTAAATTATTGATTAAATGTATGCAGATGTAAGCATAAAAATAATACATTCCTCATTACCATGCAGCTTGTGTTGACATTTGTGAAATCACAGGTGGTCTAGCAATCAGAGGAAATTCACATTTTTTTAAACTTTGAGACTTTTCCTCGTCTTAAAACTGTTTGAAACTCCTGGCCATGTCAGAATTTAGTTTAGTTAAAAATATGACTGTTCTGGTGCTATAGAACTTCAAGATAAAGACTAAACTCTTAAATCTTTTAGAACCAATCTTTATGACTAGAAGGACTGATGATCTCATTCTGATTAAGATAACATTTCTCTAATTCTTCTGAGATGGGAATGAAAAGCATTTCCTGTAGAATTACAGTAACAGTATTTAAAAAAAAAACAAAACAACATGAAAACACTCCTTTTTCCTGATAATTGAGAAATTCTCCTGGCTTACAAAAATCAAAATATAGAAAAGCATAAATAAGAAAATAAAATTACCTACAATACCAGCACTCAGACATAGCCACTGTTACCATGTTATAAGTTTTGTATGTATTGTTCATACATTACATTATCACCATCTTTCACTACTAGGCCTGATATCATATCTCACCATCTCTCACTATTAGGCCTGATATCATGGGGTGTATGTCCTCCTGGCCCTTCATAAGTTTTCCCATTCTCCCCCTGTTTGCCCTAAAAGCATTCAGCTTTGAATTGCATGTCCTCACGATACTACTCACCACTTCTCGTAGTTGTCATCAGCTGCACCCTGGGTCATTTTCCTCATTCTTTTAAGATTTAGTTCCTGCTTTACTGTCACTCTCTCCAGCCCTATTTCATTACTCACATAATGGATCTTTACAGTAACTTGGCTTCCACCACCCAACCATTGCCACTTAATTCCAAAGTCATACCCTTCATCAGTGGTTTCCAACTGGGGGCAGTTTTGCTTCCCAGGGGACATTGTCTACAGACATTTTTGGCTGTCACACTGTGGGGTGGGGGTGGGGTTACTACTGGCAGCTAGTGGGTAGAAGCCACAGGTGCTACTGATCATCCTACAATGCACAGGACAGCCTCCTACAACACAGAATTGATATGGAAAATGTCAGTAGGGCCAAGGGTGGGAAACCCTGCTATAACTAGAAGACAGCTGGTATGCACACTCTCATACCTTCCTGAAATAATAATAATTAGCAGTGGAATAACTTCCTAACTTAGATATTGTCAGACTCTTGGTTGACTGTGAGAAGTAGATCCTGGGATATAGTCACAGCTGAACCATCATTCTGTGTTAATATTAGCACCTTGTCTGACAGTATCATTTAATGGGATTAACATATTATCTAGCAAATGAGACCAACCAAATGTAGGAAAGGCAGAGTCCATACAGGACACCATGGAAACAGTTTCTATGATTTTTTTAAAAACATACAATCTTTTTTTTTTTTTTTTTTTTTTGAGACAGGGTCTCTTTCTGTCACCCAGGCTGGAGTGCAGTGGTGTGATCTTGGCTTACTGCAACCTCCACTCCCAGGTTCAAGTGATTCTTGTGCCTCAGCCTCCCAAGCAGCTGGAATTACAGGCATGTGCCACCACGCCCAGCTAATTTTTTGTATTTTTAGTAGAGACGGGTTTTGCCATGTTGGCCAGGCTGGTCTTGAACTCCTGACCTCAAGTGATCCACCCCTCTTGGCCCCCCAAAGTGCTGGGATTACAGGCTTGAGCCACCACACGAGGTCTATTCTTATTCTTATAACAAACAACATCTACATTTAACAAACCATATTTGGTCTGAGACCAAGATTTCATCCCCTTTTTCCTTTCATATTTTGTCATCCTGAGTTGATTAAAAGGTCTTTATAGACAAATCATTTTTTCCCCTGCACAAAGGAAAAACGATTTGGTCAATTCAGTGGCTGGAAAGTAGCTTAGTATATTCTGTGGATTTAGAAGGCCCTACCAGAATACCTTAGTGGTGCCCTTATGAACTGAGAAAAATGAAAACATTGATGATGTCATATTCTGAAAGCAATATTGAACCCCAAAATGCTAATACAGATTAATCACATAAAATTCCATAGGATCATTGGCTTTTAATTGTTAATTGTTCTTTCTTTTGGCCGACTACTAGATCTCTGTTCTCTTACAGGGACTGATGAAAGCTTATTTTCTCACTGTGAAGAACAATCATGTGTCAACAATTGCAGCAATAATACATAGAGTTCTAGTATTCATTGCTACCATGGGAATAATAGTTGATATTACAGAGAGTACAAACAACTTGAATGCTGACTTTGAATTTTTCATTCTAGGAAGTTAAAGTCAGTGGTATAGTATCTACTCACATACTTCTTGGAGAAAAGATTGTAGAGTCAGTAGTTAGGGATGGAGAAGGGCATAAAGACCACAGATAGGTTCTAGCATTTGCTGGCCTAAGTTTTGTCGCAGAAATGCAACACCAGAGGTAACATGAAAGATGGGTCATTGGTCCAGTCTGCCGTCTGAGTCTCCCCACCGGTTGCTTTTTCCTTGTAATGGTTGCTTCTCCTAGGTAATCACGGATCATGCTGGGGCTTTTTAGAATCAGGATGAGTTCTTCTTTTACCATTACTTATAAACATCTGGAAGGATCAGAAACAGAAGCCCTGAATCATTCTTCATTGTACAGTTACCACGGGAGGGGGAAGGCATATGGCCCTGCAGTTCTGAGTTCTTTCATTAAATGAAGCTCTGGTTGTGACTGAGTTTTATGATTTTCCTTCCACAGCAGTAGCAGCTAAATTATCTGGTGTCTTTATACTAATGATCACAATAGCTCTCCCTATCCAGTCTTTCCTTGTCTAATCTCAGCTGGCAAATACGAACTTCACAGTCTGAAAACTATTACAGTTCGTTATTAGATTGTGAAATGAAGGATGTTTGCAGAGATCAGTGTTGTTTTCTCCATTTGTAGGAGAAGCCCTGATATCCAAGCAAAAGAAGAGTTATGGAAGCACATTCAGTAAGTAATAGTTTTTCTTTCGCATTGTTTTAAAACCCATGTAGTTTTAATGCAGTTACAAGAAAGACACCGGTACTGAGAGGCTGCCTCAGTGTGAAGCCTGCCCAAGTAATTGCCACCATGTGTGGCAGGCACACGGAGCACATGATGGTGGTGCCTTACCATATCAACAGCCTATCTACAGGCAGCCTGGACACCTCCTCACCCAGGGTCATTTAGTCTCACCTCTAAATGCACCTCACACAGGCCACTGATTTACAAATAAATACCAAGGAAAACAAATCCAGAAGAAAAAAGACACCCACCACAGGGAGAGAAGCAGATCTTTTGTAGAAGAATTCAAAGACAGCACATTTTTAGTTTTTAAATCTTTGCTTCTGGCTTATTTTTTATTAGTTTTACTAATACTGTTTTGGGACAAGATTAGAAAGGGAAAACCCACCTGCCGATTGTGAAAGATACTGGCATTTATACCTGCACCACAACTATCATTTTCTTGCTTATTCCTTTATAGAAAGGAACTTGTGGATCCATCCGGATTGTCCGAAGAACAATTAAAAGAGATTCCGTATACTAAAATAGAGTGAGTGCCTTTGAAAATCTCCTCACAAAAGCTTGATTAGTGCTTGTGAATAATCCATATTAATTCTTCAATTGCGTTCCAGGTAGTGCTTTGTCTTTACATTTTAACCAAAATTAGGTGACAGTAGTTAAAGAGGTAGAAAAGGGTGCATTAAAGCTACTTATTCTACACTGTAGTCACTATCATCTCTTTTTAGCCACCTATTTGTACATGGTAGGTACAAGGGGGCTTTCCCTGATTAATGTCAGTTTTAAAATAAATTCTTTTCTGAGATACTGATTGATAAAGTTTTTATCCATTACTTTACACCAAGATAATTATGTTGACTAGAAAACTCTCATATGAGCCCAGTCCAATCCTTGGCATAGAAGCAGCACATTGAACAGGCTTCATGAAAGCACAGCAAGAATCTCTAATCACCAGTGTAAGAGGAACTGTACCTGTTGACTGTGTTTTCTGCCTTGCCAGTACATGGTTAAGAGAAAGTGAGTGCCTGCTTTGTTTCCCTTCTGCAGCTCATGCTGCTTTACCACCACAGTTAAGCAGGTTGGTATACCCCAGCCACCCTCTGTGCCCATCTTTAAGTCAAAGATTAGAATTCTTTTAATTATTAAGGTATAACCAACAAAAATTGTATATGTTTACAGTATACAATGTGATTGATGTATGTATACATTGTGAAATGCTGAAATCAAGCTTATATATCACCTCACATACTTTTTTAATGAAGAGAGAACATTTAAGGTCTTTCTTAGCAATTTTCAAGTAAAGACTGAATTCTTAATGTTAGTAGCTAGGACAGTGAACCAACTTTTTCCATTAGGAATGCCATTTTGTCTGCATTATACATTTTTTTTTCTTCCACACTACCAAAAATAATTCTACTGTGAGGAATAATTTCATTTAAAATTTGGTGGTTAAAAAATAGACATATATACATATAAGCTTCATTTTCACATATAGTCCAGGGAGCACTTTTCTTGTGAAATTTAAGTCACTCAGGCTTTCAAAGCCCAGAGGAGTCAAATTCTTTTTAAAACTCTGAAAGTTTTTATTCTTTTGCTACTTCAGTATTAAGGCAGAACTCCTAATTTTCCTCTTTTGACTTTGGGTGTTTTTTCCCATGTTTCTTGGTTGCTTGTTCAGGACACAAGGTGACCCAATCCGCATCAGGCATTCTCATTCGCCACGAAGTTACCGCCAGTATCGCAGGTCCCAGTGTTCAGATGGGGAGCGATCAGTTCTCTCGGAAGTGAAGTAAGTGGGCAGGCTAGAGTACACTATCACCATCATGGCTGCAGAACAGAGCAGTCTAAAATAACTTTCTTTGCTGATGGCAGTGTTTTCTATCTACACTGTAGCCCTCTTCCAACTTAATTTCTGATTCTAGGTATTGTTCCAGTCATTAACTCTAAAACTCATTTTCTGCAGTTCAAAAACGGATCTTGTGCCACCACTTCCTGTGACCCGTTCTTCAGATGCTCAGGGTTCTGGGGACGCTACAGTTCATCAGGTTAGTATTAGTGAGGTTTGAAGAAGATACTGTGTTGATGACAATTTTGAGAAGCATTTTGTGCTTTGGAGAGTTCCTTTGGGGAAGTAGGGCAGGCAATGAATCTTTATTGTCATTCTGAGATTCTGTATTTTAAAAGAACATGTAGTAATCATAGAAGGAGCTGTGCATGATCAAGAACCTTGGCACAATCTGAGAAGTTAGGAATAAGAAGTAGAGGTAGTGGCGCAAAGCTGAGGATAACAAAGATTGTAAGATCGTTTTGAGCCACAATAAAGACACAATTGTTTCACTAATTAAAAAGCAACAATAACAACAGGTATTTTGAGCCAGAGAAACAAAGAAAAAAGTGATAAACTCACAATGTTAACTGACGGCAGACAGAAGAATTACTCAAGTCCTGTTTTATTTCTGTCTTCTCCATCATAGACAATTACTTTAATTCTGGAAATGTTTTTAAAATGTAAAAAGGAATTCAGACAGAACACCTAGCTGCCTTAACAAAATCACTCTAACATTTAGTTGAATTTGATAATCAGGGGAGAACTGTAGCAAACGTAGTTCAGGAAGGGTTTGATACTACCTGTCATGTCATATTTTTTAATAAGATGGGAAAAAATGTGGGCTAAGACAATTGGATGGATTTATATTTCATTAAACAACTACTGTAAAACTCTAAAAACAAAGTTGATGTTTCTGATAGATCAGGGTCAGCCCATTGTTCGTCGTGTTGTGGTTTTCAGTGTTGTTCGAATCATGGATCCTTTGGAACAGCCAGTTGTGTCTACTGACTCTCTCCCATAAAAGTGTATGTAAGCACATGTACAGCTTTTGGACCACCTAAGAAGCCTGACACCAGCAGTATCTATCATGTGTGGCCCTTTTCATTTTTATCAATGACTAGAGCAAGACCTGTGTTAATTGAGGTTAGGTTCCCTAGATAGATTCTGAAATGGAGATCTGCATGCAGGAAACTTGTTGGTAAGTGCCCCACGGGATGGACACTTGTTGGAGAAAAAGTAAAAGATGGGTTTGGGCAGAGGCAAGAGCTGATTGCACAGGGAGCTCTAGTGCTGAGATGGCCTGTAATCCCAGCTGCTAGGCAGGCTGAGGTAGGAGAATCACTTAAACCCAGGAAGTGGAGATTGTGCTGAGGTGAGATGGCACCACTGCTAGAGCCTGGGTGACAGTGATACATCTAAAAAAAAAAAAAAAAAAAAAAAAAAAAAGCAGCAGAAGGTAAGTGTTTTCTTATGCATCCTACCTTGAGACAAGGGGGCTGAACATTTATATGTTCATTCACCCCATAGCAGTCACTGGGTAAGGGATGTTCTCGGAGGGGGGTTATCTTCAGTTGAGGGCAGTTCCTGGGGAGGGGCTCAGTTTTGAGCTACATGGCAGGCAACACTCACAGCAGCTGGAGAATGAATGCCTCAGTGTAGAATGGAGATCTGAGAGATAAACACAGCTTCTAATGCAGTCTGCCTAATATTTGATGAGGTCAACCTGGGAGAGCTAACAGGTTGTCCAACTAGACAATTGGTTTAAAGTTGACAGTACTTTTTCAAAATTATATTCATGATTAAGTTTAGGCTTTGCATTCTGACTGACCAGAATCATTTGTGTTTCATTTCTGCGTACTACTTGTGTGACTTTAATGTTGCTAAACTTCCAAGCCTCTATTTTAATATAGTGTAGACAACCTACCTTCTAGGGTCATTGTGATGATTAATAAGCAGTTGTCTTTCAGTTTTTTGTGGGTTTTTTTTTTGTCTTAAATTTTAGTTGGTTTCAATACAAGAGGTAATTTTTATTTCCACTCAGGAATTAAAACACTTACACACATTCTAAGCTGGAATAGCCTTCACTTTGCAGGACACAGGAATAACTCACATGTATCTTCTGATCAATGGCATTGATTCTAAACTTGTCTCCAGGAAACCTGATTTTGGATTCAGTAAATATCCAGTGAGCCCATCTAAGGAGTGTCAAGCACTGGTCTGAGAGGTCAGCAAACCATGGCCTAAGGGCCAAATCTAGTCTGCTGCCTGTCTTTGTATAGCCCAGAAGTCAATAATGGTTTTTATACCTTTTCAAGTTGTAAAACCCTTTAAGGGTTGTTTAAAAGCAAAACAACAGCAACAAGTGACACAGACATGATGTAGTGTAGAGTCTGGCTCTTTGTAAAAAAGTTTGATGACCCTAGCCTAGAAGTGTAGGCATAGAAGTAAACAGGTGAAACAAATAGGAGTATGCATTATGAAGAAACAAAGGCATGAGCTAGAGAAGCAGCAAAGTGACCTCACTTCACATGTTTAGGGTGGTCAGAGGCCATCTCAGAAAGTGGCATTTAAAGTTGAGACCTGGCAGGTAAGAAGGAGCCAGCCATTGAGTGGGCAGAAGGCTGAGTAATCAGAGGGAGGAACATGGGGAAAATGCTGACTCTGGAGAGGGCCTGGGCATTTGAGGACCTGAAAGACCAACGTGGACTGAGCATGAGGGGAAAGGCGGATAACACAAGGCCTTAAAGGCTGCAGGAAGAGTTTGGATCTTATTGTTTTATTCCAAGTGCTAAAAAGAAGCTACTCATCTGGCTGCCATGCGAAGGGGCTGGAGTGACCAATGGAAGCTGGAAGGTTGCATTTCCTAATGCAACTTTTAGTTCTACTTTCCACTGCAATGCCACCAGAGTTCTGGCAGTGACATTCCCTACATCTCACCTTGCCTTTTTATGCAAAGGCTGCTAAGAGTTGGGAAGAATAGCAACTTAATTTCTTAAGGTCTGCAGATTGGACAGATTCAATCCCAGACACACTTACAACATAGTATTTATTTCAGGTCCTCTCCTAGCACTTTTTCTGGTTATTCTGTTGTATTCTTCTCTTCTATGCACTGGCATCCTTTTCCTACCTCTGGCTATCTACAAATATTCCATCCCAAATAGATTGATTCATACATCCCATGTTGGGCAGAATAGTTATTCCTTCAGTGGTTTTTGAATGTCAGTAAAACAAATTAAGCCAGCCATAGAGCAGATTAAAGATAACTGCATTTTAAAAAGGTTTTTTTTGTTGTAGCTCCAACAAATCTCAAAATAGATTGGGACAGTGTAGCCCATTATTTGTGGGACTATACATTTGGGGAAGGAAATATAATTGCTAGCCTGATATACTGACAATGTTAGGCCATCTTTTGGAGGTAAGGGCAGGGGAGGGTTAGCATAAAAGGGAGCAGTTGTGAGTATCATTCTCAGAGCCTCCACCTATGGCTATGTAAGACCTATTTTTTACAAAGTAGTGGAATGTGGTGCCCAGGCTCTGGTAACTCAGCTGCCGTTTCTCCCTAAGAGCCAAGAGTGATAGGAGCTCCAAAGACATTGTTTCATTCATTGACTACTGAAAATATAATCAGGGGATTATATATTGCCTTCAACTCTCCATCACTATCCTGTTTGGAAAGTGGGAAGGTTGAGAGCCTGGTTTGGGAATTATTAACAAAAGTAATGACACTGATTTGGGTGAATTATGCCTAATATTCATGAATGAAATCACTATGCATGTCAATGTCTGACTTTGTACATTAAACAAATATTAAATACTTTTATTTTGCACAATTAACTATTTAAAGGGAACATTTATTGGATAGCTTTTGGTATTATGAAACTTTTCAATTGCAACTCGGTATCTTTAAGAGCAGCTTGGTTTCTGATGTAATTAAAATACTTCATTTGGCTGTTTCCTTCTGAAACTTTCTATATTTTTCAAAAATATTTTATTCTAGAGAAGAAATGGGTCTAAAGATAGCCTGATGGAAGAAAAATCTCAGACACCTGCAAGCAACCTGGCTGGAAAACACACAGCAAAAACAATAAAAACTATCCAAGCTTCTCGCCTCAAGACAGAGACCTGATCATGATGAAAGGTCAAGGATGGTGTGGGAAGGTTGTGTGAGCCACTGGTTCTTCTGAAACTGTGAAATACTTTGATTCAAATCTCAGACCTGCAAGTATTTCTTCAGCATAAGAAAATACATATCCCACCTCCAACGCTTTTTTTGAGATATATCACTGTCACCCAGACTAGAGTGCAGTGGCGCTGTCTCAGATTAGCACAATCTCCGTTTCCTGGGTTTAAGCGATTGTCCTGCCTCACTCTACTGAGCAGTTGGGATTACAGGTGTGCACCACAACACCCAGCTAATTCTTTTTGTTTTTAGTAGAGGTAGGATTTTGCCATGTTGGCCAGGCTGCTCTCAAACTCCTGACCTCGTGATCTGCCTGCCTGTGCCTCCCAAAGTGCTGGGATCATAGGCACGGTTTAAGACAATACAGTTACGCTGAAGGACCTTTTTGTTTTAACTGGAATAAGGATTTTCAAACAGTTCACTTGAAACCACATTTTCCTTTTTGGAACAGGATAGCAGTCATTCATTTCTGAGTATCATGTGCCTGTCCCCACAACCAAGACCAGATGCATCCGATGAACACTCTGGAATTCTGGACTGCAGCTAGCCTGCTGTGCAATAGTGTAAGTGGGAGGAAGTCCTCCCACTGCTGGGTTGGTTCTCAGCTAGCAGCCAGGTACAGAAGTACTGAGGCATCACTTTTAGAGTGCAGATATTTTTATTCATATAAATGTTCTTTATAATACTGTATTTTGTGGTGTTAAGTTCCACCAGTTATTTACAAACGATGTAAAACGCTTTGTTTTTAAGTGTTGTTAATTTGCAAGTATTTTTGTCTTGTGAATCCACTTTTCAGAAGTCTAAGTGGATTTCAGTTCATCTCTCACCCCAAACCTCAAATGGCCCATCCACCTTGCTTGGCTATCTAACTCACCTGCTCTCCTCAGTGACTATTTTGGACCTTTCCTCGCCATAGATGACTTTGCAATCTACAGGGCAAATACTTACACAGGACCTCTTATATGTCCCCCTTACCACATACAATTCTCTCCACAGCTGCCAACAGTCCTAACCTGTCTCTCCACCTGTGCTTTGGATGCCATCTCTCCCAGACTTTTCAGGATCTCTCTCTCGCCTCTTAATGTATTCAGTCATTCTGCCAGCTAGATCCTTGCTACTTGGTTTTAAATTTAAGACTAAGATTAAATAAAACTATCTTTCACAACCACAAATCCCCCTCTAGCAACTATGACTTTCCTCTCATTCTTGAGCCAAGTTACTTGCAAGGAAAAATTCCAAGTCATTGCCCTCATTCATCTAATCCCTATCTTAAGCTATCTCTAATACAGATTCTTTCCCACTACTCCATTCAACCACTGTGTCACTTAATCCCAGGGAGAATGTTGGACATTCTTTTGCTGCTTTAATGTAATCCTACTTTGTTCTTACCACTGACCATCCTTTCTAGCTCATCATGCTTTACCTTGCTGTTTATTAGTGGACTTTCTCAAACTTCAGACCTTAGGCCCTCTTCCTCTACCCTGTGCAGATCTCATTTAAACCCATGGCCTTAAGGTTTATTTCCGTAGTTTAGACAAAGGAGTAAAAAGACCACTTGTATTTCTCAAAGGTAATTCGACTGTTTAAATGCTGCTCCCCAGCTAGATCTAGGGTCATTATGCTCATCAGTGTGCAAGCTTGACACGTAGCAGTTAGGGACACCTCCACTATTATCAAGTCTAGTTGGCTTTGTCATCAAACCATAAACAACCATATTTCACTAGTCCAAGCTGGTCATCTCTCACCTAGACAACAGTAAGCAACTTAGTTCAACTACCTTTTCTTGCAAATCTAATTTCCCACCATGGATTTATTCTGTTTTATTTAATAAAGCCAGAGGGAGCCTGAAGTGGTCTGGCTTCTTTACCTACCTCTTCAGCCTCATTTTGGAACACTCCCACCTCCAGTAATAGCCATTTTAAGAGCTTCATTAAGCACTCAATTGTATAACAGGGCACTGAAGAGGGAAAGCAGCCAAAACTGTCACTGATGTAAGTGGACTTTCGGTCATCTTTTTTTCTAGCCCAAGCCTCTGAAAATGTCATTCCCTCAATTTTGCCTTGTGAAAAAATGACACATACCTTTAATCTCAACTCTGCTTTCTCAGGGTTCCCTAAGAACATCCTATCATGGAACTCATCTCACAGTGGAAGTTTCACATTTGTGATGACATTCTCTCAATTCGGCTATGTTTTCAAAGGGAAGAACTGTGTTGTGCTCATCATCATGTTCTCAGCTCCTAGGGCTGTCCTTTTACTAAATTTTTTGAATACCTTAATACACTATTTACTGTTTCCTGCAAAGTGAAGGCAAAAGATATGCCAACATTAAGTGTACAATCTAGTTGGAGAAAAAAATACATGCATTGAGTGCAGTAAAGCACACCTGTGACCTAGAAATCCGCTAGTCTAGTTCTAGCCGTAAGTTTTCAGTCACTGGAAGGTGTACATTTCTCTTTGGGCCAAACACAAGCTATTGTTAAGGCTAGTAATTATGGTTGACAGCAGTGAATACTGGTCAAAAAAAGAACTACCCCTTGTACCTTTTTAGAAATAGCTGTTTTCTGGTAGTTTATCACTTTAAACACAAATCTCAAAGTGTATTAATATATTTATTCATATCCTCACGGTCTTAAATGTGTATTTATGGACTCCAGCAGGCAATTATGGCAGTACTCCTCAGACTCCTCGAAATTTTAAATGATCCAAGCAACTCGTGAAGATCAAATTTTCAAAATCCTCACCAAGGACATCCTAAGAGAAAAAATAAAGTACTCAATTCGACAGCAAATATTTTTGTGTTACATTTTCATCAAGAACTTGGTAATTAATATGCCTGTGGTTTGACAAGTTTTTTAAAAACTCAATTACTATACACAAAAATCTTAGGAGATGGAGAATACCACTACTATCCATATTCATTTCCCTGGGCTTCTCAGGAAAATACCAGCAAAACCTTCCCGAAAATAAGCTGTGGAGGCTATCCCATTTGTTAACTTCACCTTAGCTACAGACAGCAACACTACGAATGAACCACTAACGTTAATACTCACTAGAGAAGGCACCTATTTGAAAAGTGATAAACATTCCCACTACAAAGTGCTTTATGACGTATCACTCTACCTTTAGGTCACCTTTGTCTTCCCAGATGGTATTCAGCTAGCAGCAGTCTACACTTCAGGTATCCATCTTACACCTGAACAAAAATTAAAACTGGTTAAGAGAAACCGTACACCTACGGCCCGCAGGGTCAAGATCACGCGTGTAAACGTAAAAGCATTAACTGTTACTTATGCAGCTCCTACACCAAAGATATCAAATTTAAGGGCAGGAAAAGGCTGCAAAGCGTTTAATTTACGCCTTTTTTGACACCACATTCACTAGTTTCCAAAGTGAATGGGCAACACAAAGGCTCCCTGACACTGCGTGAGGTCAGCTTTTATGGGATAAGGTTGCTGACTGGCTGACGGTAATCTGTTAACAGCCTAAAAACGAACAATACATTTCGGAGAAATTTTCTCACCATTTAAAACCTGACTTGGTAATGAAAACTGAAATGCAATGCGTTTTAGATGGCGACGGGTCTTGCACCAAAGTGAAAACTCACCTGCAGGGTAGGCGACCACTCCCGCCGAGTACCGCACTTGGAAACAGCGGTAATCAGGCACTCTGCTTTCAAGCTATTGTGCACGGGGGCAGGGCAGGCTTAAAGGCAGTTACCCGGCAAGGCCTTTTCACTAACGAAAATAAAACCCCGCTTACAGAAAGAACTCCATGGCATACGGTCGACGATCTAAACTAACCTCGAATTCACTAAGCTCCCCGTTTCTAAGCAAGGGGATGCGGAAACGCAGGCCTGAGGCCTCCTAAGGCGCTCCCGAGATTCCCCCGAAACGTCGCCAAGGCCAGGCCGCTGCCCTCCCCGCGTTCATCGCCCGGAATAGTTCGGACACGGTCCAGCTGCCGCAGACGCCTCACCAGGCTCAGGGTGCCCGCATTACGCCGCCCGACGCCCCAGCGTGGGCGGCCACCCGGCCACAGCCACGCGCCATCCCGGAGGCCCCAGCACAGACCCACGCCAACACGGCACCAAAGCCGAGAAAGACCGCGCGCTCTTCCCACAATGCTTTTCTACATGTGGAAGGACCCACTGTCCAAAGGCGCGGGGGGGAAAAGCGGACTGTACCATCGGCCCCTGCGCTACCTCGAGACGCCGTCGTGTGGCCAGAGGGAGAAGTGCCAGTAAGGGACCGAGGGACGTGTCACCAAGGGAAAGAGGGCCCGGGAGCCTGGGTTCTCAGCCCGAGTCAACTCTGCGGTTGTGTGACCAGTTCTGCCCATGGAGGAGGTTTTATCAAGTGTGGCTTTTCCGGATTCCCCATCCCATCGCCCCCGCCGGGGTCAGTGATGGCAGCGGAAGGAGGCCAAAGGACTTTAGACCACATGTTTTGGGACCCGACAGAATTCCTGTCTGCATCTGAGGAAGAGTAGGGTCATTCATTCAAAAGATATTTAATAAGGACTTACTGTGCTCCAGGCCCCGGCCTGAGTACCTGGGAAGCAGTTGTGGGTCAGCCAGGCAAGGTTCCTGTGGTACATTCTGCTTGTGTGAGAAGGTCACTGACCAGGTGAGCCGGCATGCTGAAATTCCACAATGTAAGTGCCAGGAGGGCTGCAAAAAAGCGTCATTCCATAGAGCAGCGCTGTCCAATGGAAACAGCCTGAGTCGTGAATGTAATTTTAAATTTTCTAATTGTCACATAAAATGTAGAAAGAAGTCCGGGCACGGTGGCTCATGCCTGTAATCTCAGCACTTTGGGAGGCTGAGGTGGGTGATCACCTGAGGTCAGGAGTTCGAGACCAGCCTGGCCAATATGTCGAAACCCTGTCTCTACTAAAATACAAAAATTAGCTGGGCATGGCGGCGGGCGCCTATAATCCCAGCTACTTGGGAAGCTGAGGCGAGAGAATCGCAACTTGAACCCGGGAGGCAGAGACTGCAGTGAGCCGAGATCTTACCACTTCGCTCCAGCCTGGATAAAAGAGTGAAACTCTGTCTCAAAAAAAAAAAAAAAAAAAAAAGTAAAAAGAAACAGGTCAAATTAATTTTCATAATAACCCAACATGTTAAATATTTCAACAGGCAATAAATATGGAATTATTAATAAGCTATTTTGCATTCTTTTATTTCAACTAAGACATTTAAAAATCCATTGTATATTTCATACTTCCAGCTATCTCGGTTCAGACGACTCATTTCAAGTGCTCGGTAGCTCATGGGGCTCAGGATACGAAGACTGGAGGTGAACTTTGAGCACATGTGTGAGGGCGGTTATGCAAGATCTGGGGACAGCAGGCCTTGGCCAGTGCGACTGCAATTGAGTAAGCAGTGCAGAGTGACAAGATGCAGCTGGAGAGCTAGGCAGGAGGAAGGCACTTAGGGCCTTGTCACATAGGGTAAGGTATTGGGATTTTATGCTGAAATCTTAGAGTTGATAACACAAAAATAAACAAGGGTTTGTTAACTGGCTTTTTTTTTTTTTTTTTTTTCCTGATAACCATAACTCCTTAAAGGGACAGGAATGGCTGCAAGACAAGCTGCATGATAACTAGGTCTCCGTGTTTCTGTAAGTCCTATCAGATTCATCCGGAGGCCAGTCTTAGCACCTTTTGTTGTTTCTTTGAAGCTTACTGCTATAAAAGAAAGAAGGAAAGAGAAGACAAAGAGCTTATCTCCAAATTCATCAAGTTATATATATTGAATACAGCTTTTTGTATCTCAGTCATACTTCAATAAAGTGGTTTAAGAAGAAAAAAGAAAATTCAGGCTCACAGCCCAGCGGTCATCACGCAGGGACTAGCATGAATGATAACAAAATCAATCTGGGGACAATGACTGTACAGAAATAGCAAATGTGTAATTACTACAAGAAGGTAAATAACTCCAGAGTTCATTAGGAAGTCACTGTAACATCTGGGGCAAAAGGAAGGTTGCAAAAGGAAGGCAGTATCACCAAGACTGTTCTTTAAAGACAGTGAAAGGTACAGTATGGGGATTATATAACATGCTTTAGTCTTGCCTTCTTGCTAGGGAAAGTTGGTGATAGGTTTGGCTGTGTCCTCACCCAAATCTCATCTTGAATTGTGGTTCCCATAATCCCCACGTGTTGTGGGAGGGACCTGGTGGGAGTTAATTGAATCGTGGGGGTGGTTACCTTCTTGCTGTTTTTGTGATAATGAGTTCTCCTGAGATCTCACGAGATCTTTGCTAGGCACTTCTCCTTCCTGCTGCCAAGTGAAAAAGGATGAGTTTGCCTCGCCTTCCACTATGATTGTAGGTTTCCCGAGGCCTCCCCAGCCATGCTGAACTGTAAGTCAATTAGGCCTTTTTCTTTTATAAATTATCCAGTCTCAGATATGTCTTTATTGATGGCATGAGAATGTACTAATGCAGTGAGAGAGTGGAAATTTCTTAGACTGGGGTAGCCAGCATATCTAGGTTTATATCTACCTCTGACACTTGTTCCCTTAGGTACATGACCTCAATTGTGAGCCTGAGTTTCCTCATTTCATGTGTAATAACTACACACCTGTATTAAATAGGTTAGTTTAAAGAATTAAGAAAGGTTTGTGGAATCACATAGCATTGTGTGTGATATATAATGACATCCAATAAATTAATCAATTGAGCCAGGCTTTTCCTCTCTTTTACCCCTACCCCAAATATGGAGCCTTCTTGGATTGAGTTCTTATGAAAGGGGGAAACATGCTGTTTTTCTTTTAATGGATTCACATTATTGCTCCCACTTTCCTCTTTCCTCTTCTTCCCTTTGTATCTGTTCCCTAAACTTCCTGAAAATAGGCAGAGGGAAGGCATTTGTTCCAATTGTTAGATGAGTGTTGGGTATTAGGAAATCAATTCAAAATCCTTCCTCTCCCCTGTCTGGTTCAACCTCCCGAATCCTGGTACAGAAAACCCAATTATTAAGCACAGGCAAGCAGACAGGACGTGAGAAGTTAGGGGATGTTTTCTACCTAGTCCCTGCTTCACCCTTGTCTGCCGGGCTGAAGCACTGTGTAAGACGTTCAAGCCACACAGTGGTTGTGAAAACATGAAGCAATCTCGATTTCCTTGTGTGGTAGGTAGAATAATAATCTCTCCCTGCAAGATATTCGTGTCCTAATCCCCAGAACCTGCGAATATGGTGCGTTACGTAGCAGAAGGGTGTTTGCATATCTGATTAATATAAGGAACCTTGAGATAGGGGGATAAAGATGGAAGAAGGCAGCAAAAGAGTTAAGAGATTTGGCAGAGGGGAAGGCAGGAGAAATACATATGAGAAGGACTCATCCCTTCATTGCTGGCTTTGAAAATGTAGGAGGGGGCCGCAAGCCAAAGAATATGGGCACCCTCTAGAAACTGGGAATTACCGTCAGCTGACAGCAAAGAAGCAGGGATTTCTGTCCTACAGAGCTGTGAGATAATAAATTTATGTTGTTTTAAGCTGCTAAATTTGTGTTAATTTGTTATGGTAGCAAGAGAAACCTAATATACCATATAAGGGGTAGAGAGTAAGTAAGCTTTATTTGTTAATCCACCATTTCTTTTCCCGTCTTGATTTTCTCATTAGGAGTGGAAATGAGATTTTGCAGACAAACTTATGCACATTTCATTTTAAAGTAATTCATATGAAGCTGACTTTTGCTTATAGTAAGTGCTAGGGATAACCAGTTGTTCTAAGATTGTTTATCAATAGCCCATTCTTTCTACACAGATCTACCGTGCAACCATCATCATAGATCAGGGTTTTTTTTTGTTTTTTTTTTTTTTTCTTTTTGCATAGATGTACCTTTGTGCTGTCTTTTCTGTCCTACAGGTCTGTTTGTTTCTCCTGTGTCAGTATTACACTGTCTCAATTCCTATATTTATATAGTGTCTTGATATTTGCAATGGCAGATGCCCTGCCCTCCCACATCCATATCACCACCCAGACACCATCATCTTTTTCAGGGAAGTCTTGGCTATTATTGTTCCTTTCTCTTGCACATATAAAGTTCAATGAATTGAATTGATCCATTTGTGCTTTGACTTGGACCCCTCCTACTTTTTGTTAGTCATTGTTTGATTGTGCTTGTTTTCACGATTATATTGCTAAAGCCATATTTCATCATCTTTTCACCGAACTTTACAATCTAAAGATTGTTGGGATTTTTATTGGAATTGCAATGAATCCATGAAAAATTGAAGGACAGTCAACATCTATATGCAGATGGTATGTGTGATAGTTGATTTTATTTATCAACTCTGGATCACAGGCTCCTCAGCTATCTAGCTAAACATAATTTCTGGGTGTGTCTTTGAAGATGTTTCCAGAAGAGATTAGCATCTGAATCAATAAACTGAGTAAAGAAGATTTTCTTCCTCAATGTGGATGACATCACTTAATCATTTGAGGGCTTGAGTAGAACAGGGGAGAAAGGAAGGATTCGCTTCCTTTTTGTCTTACTCTATCAGCTGGAACATTGATCTTCTCCCCTTAATTCTCCTGGTTCTCAGGCCTTTGGAATCTACACCACCTGCTCTCTGGCTATTGGGCCTCTACACCACCTGCTCCACTGGCCTTGGGCCTCTAGCTTGGAGATAGCATCTTAGGACTTCTCAGCTTCCGTAATTGCATGAGCCAATACCTTATAATAAATGTGTGTGTGTGTGTGTGTGTGTGTGTAAACACATGTACACATATGTATACACATGTTTAGAATTATATTGTAAAGTTCAATGAAAAGCACTGTTGGGATTTTTATTGGAATTACATTGAATCCATGATAAACTGAGGGA